ATGAAGGTTCAGGGTCCAAGGTTTAGCCCAGAAGATAAGGTTTAGGGGTTTAGGGGTTTAGGGGTTTAGGGTTTAGGGTTTAGGGTTTAGGGTTTAGGGTTTAGAGTTAGGCTTCCTCCTACAAAAGGGTTCAGCACATGGGGCTTCAGGCTTTATGTCTGGCAGGTTAGAGATTTAGGGTCAGTGTGTAGGACAGAGTTTGGGATTTAGGCTCGCGGGCTCAGGGTTTAGAGTTTAATCGGAACCTGTGACTGTCCCTGCCCGCTAAGAGTGTTTGAGCTTGCATCAACGGATAAGAGCTTCTGCAAACAAACATGATTTGCGCAGACTGAAACAGAACAGTGACGATGCAAACAGCCTGCACACGTCGGGTTCAACTCAACACTAAACCTTAGAGATCCATAAGCCGATCTGGCACATCTGCGCTCTGTCGCCTTTATCCTGTCTGCTGGCTTCCTCGCCCGCACCTTGGGCTTTGAGAGCAGCGTCTTCAGCATCCGCTCCACATTCTCCCAGAACCAGTTCCAAGAGACTTCATACTCTGTGTCCCAGTCCTCGTGCCGATGACATGGGAAGCTTGACTCGCCCGCCCGCCCGCATACACGCACGTACGCACGCAGGCATGAATGCACGGACACATGTGCACACACACACACGATATCGGTGTGTATATGTGTGTGTATACTATATATAATAACTCTTCCTATATATATATATANNCATGTATACATACATATATACATACAGACGGACGGACAGACAGACAGACAGGCAGGCTGACCGACAGACGGACAGACGGACAGCCAGCCAGCCAGACAGGCAGACAGACATGTGTATGTGTGTATATATATATATATATATGTACTATACATGTTTCTATATATATATATAAACATATAAGTTCACACGTGTGTATATTAATACCTAGTTATTAACTAGTTTATGCCTCTCTCTCTCTGTGTATATAAACATATAAATTATGTACGTATTACTTACATATACATGTATTCACTAAAAGTCTATGCAAACACGTCTGTACACATGCACCCGAACAAAATCACAAACTTGGCAAAGACCATCAGCTCCATGCCTCCTGCAACGAATCCATCGTGCGTGCAAGTCCATTTTCTCCATAGGACTCCACGAAACAATGCATGCAGATCTAGCAAGAAAATCCGAACGATGGGAAGGCGGAGTGGCAGCTCCCGCTAGACAGGAGCAAGTTTTGGGCTGAACAATCCTCACAAAGTCCAAAAGTGTCCAGACCCTGTTTTACCAGTCCTTGGGAACGAGGGACCGCAAGGAAGCGAGCATGACGGATCTGAACCTCGGTCAGTATCAGAGCAAAACATGCATACATCTGTATGGGTACATAACTGGACTTTGAAGTGACCAGGGAGAAAAGGAACAGACTTTATTTCAGAATGGTTCCTTTAAGGAACAGGTCCCAAAACGGTGTTCAAGTAGGGTACTCCAGAACCCAGATCATGTAGGTATGCATACGTGCATCTTTGCATACACACATAGATGTGCATGTACATTCCAACCTAATGCACACATACATACGAATATACACAAACACGACTATGTGTGTGTGCATATATATAGATATATGCATGCATATATGTTTACATACACACAAAAACACAAGTTTCAAATCAGTTCATGCACCAAGTGGTGGTGATTTAGAACATACAGTAATACCTAGATTTATGTAGACGCACGCCCCAACTTCACTACATGCATTACCGACCCATAGTTTGATTGAAAGTCCTACAGTAGCCGAGCTGATTATAGACACTACGTGGACGAAGCTGTAGTTTACAAGGTGATATGCTCACGTAGTAAATGTGGCCCTCTAGTGGTTAAATGAACTGCAAAAAACAAATAAAATGTGTGTGTGCATGTGTGTCCGCATGCGTGTACGTATAACGAAGCTTATGGCTCGTCTGGTGCATTTCCGCAGGTAAGATGGCGGACCGGTGGAGATCAAAACAGAGTCAAACTAGCGATGCAAAAACCCTAGACGTTGCCTAAGCCCTAAACCCAAAACTCCTAAACTCTAAACTCCTAAACCCTAACCCTGAACCCTATACCCTAAACCCTAAACCCTAAACCCAAAGGCGTTTGGCTGCAGCCCCTAGCGTAGTTTTCCGTTCGCGGATCCGCTGGAGGGTGAAGCTGAACCCCAAGTGTGGCTGTTGCCCACGGTGTGAGAGCTGGTGGACCGCAAGAGCGCCCAGCTTCTCTTTTTCTCGTGGACTACCTGTACGCCTTGCGAGGGTAGCTTCCTGTTTTGCCCCACTTCTTTAAGTGGCTGGCTTCCCCGCCCCACTTTTTTAGAGTGGCTGGCTTTTCTGGCTCACCTGGGACGGTGACGCCTGCGATTTTGTGCAAGGACCTCTACGACATCAGGGCTGGGATTCCTGGCAGGTGGATGTTCTATAGAGGTATCTTTGTATTGTGTGTGTATATTTCGGCCTGGCTGGGTGGTGGACGTGACGCCGCGACTGTCGCGGCACGCAGAACCAGCTTGGCACCGACTGCAACGGAGGAATCGCACCAGGAGCCGCACTCTGCTTCGTGGGTTCACGTCGGGACAAGAAGCGGACGCGGCCGACGTGGCTTGGGCAATCGCCCAGCTGCAAGGACATCACTCTGCCTCAGTTTTGGTGGGAGCAGCAAGCCGTCAGCTTGCAACGATGACACAACCATGGAGATGTGGCAAATGTGCCACCATGAACCGGCACTCCGCGGTGTACTGCCCGACGTGCGGACAGCACTGGCAGACCTGCGCGGACACCTACACGGGCGACCAGAGTTGGTCGCAGCCCCCCTGGTCCGGGAATGGCGACGCATGGCGCTCGAAGTCACCCAGGAGGATGTCACCGAGGCGGCGTTCAGGCAACCGGAATGGAGGCAAGGGTGCAGGCAAAGGCGAGGCGAAAGGCCCACTGCCTGCTCAAGCCGCCGGCCCCGGCACGTGTGCCAAACAGGGTGCCGAAGGTCGAGGCGCCTGCAGCTTCGGCGCTGCCGGCGGCGCCGAATGTGCCCGCAATCCTGCTGCCAAAGGGCAGTGCTGGATCCAGTACGGGCACAGCGGAGCACTCGATCATCCAGGCCTTCATGGAGCAGTGCGCCAAGCAGGAGAACCTGTCCGACGAGCTGCGCGAGCTCATGGCCAGGGTGGGGGGCTCCAACGTGCAGCAGGAAACCAAGGAGCTCCACCGACTTGTCAAGAACAGGTCGGAGGCCTGTGCAGCTTTGAATCAGATCCAATCGGACCGGGTCTCTTTCGAGGCTGCATGGGCGAGTTACACCCAGTCGCTGGTTACGCTGCTGCAGGAGCAGTTGGCCAAGCGACAATCGACGCTCGAGGAGTTGGACAAAGCCCAATCCGAGTGGACAAACAAGCTGCGCGAGGTCACGGTGCAGATCAAGCAGACGACCGGTACCGTGGAACAGGGCGCGGACCTCGAGGAGATCCGCAGCTCAAGCAGCGAGGAGATGGAGTGCGTCGTGGCCGAGGAAGCAGAGCGGGAAGCCAAAAGGCTTACCAGACAGCGGGAGATGACGGAGCAGCACCACCAGCTACTCCAGGC